CCTTGGCATCACCGCTACTTTCCCTGAGCACGAGCGGTACGCTGTCTGTACTGAGGCTGCCACTGGTGCCCCACTCACCACGTTCCCCCGGGACCCAGTGTCTGGCCTGTTCACGCTGGACACCGCGTCCCCCCTGGTTGGGACGCCTCCCCAGGTAGCAGCGTCTTCCCAGGTTGCTGCGGCGTGCTCCTGTTGGTCGCTTACTCACCCTTCGCTCCTGTGGCACCATCGTCAAGGTCACCCCACCCTCACGCGCCTCCGTCACATGTCCCAGCACCGTCTTGTCCTAGACCTCCCTGAGTCGTTCCCTGCGCTCCCCTCCTCACCCGCGCCTCCGTGCACACCCTGCGTCGAGGGTCGGCTCCGCCGTGCCCCTCACTCCTCCTCGTTCCCCCCCACCTCCGCACCACTGCTGACCCTGCACATGGATGTCGGGGGCCCCGCTCCCGTCCATGGGCAGCGTCGCGAGCGCTACTTCCTAGTGCTTGTCGACGACTACACACGCTACACCACCGTGTTTTCCCTGGAGCGGAAGGCCGACGTGCCTGACGTTCTTCTCCCGTGGCTTGTCTCAGCGCGTGTTCACCGAGGCCTCCCTATCTTGCATCTTCACTCTGACCGTGGTGGCGAGTTCGCCTCTCGCTACCTTGGTCGCTTCTGTCGTGCGGAGGGTATCACCCAGACATTCACCCTGCCGGAATCCCCGCAGCAGAATGGGGTCGCTGAGCTATGCATAGGCTTGGTCATGGAGGTGGCTTGTACCTCCATGATCCATGCCGGTGCACCCCATTTTCTGTGGCCGTTCGCCATTCGCTATGCCGCCCACCAGCTCAACCTGTGGCCGCACTCTCAGCGCCCGCAGGTTTCGCCAACGCTTCTCTGGACCAGGTCTCCTGGAGCCGCGTCTGCGTTCCATGTCTGGGGCTGCCTTGCTCAAGTTCGTGCCTCTGGCACGAACAAGCTCGCTGCCCGCACAGTCCCCTGTGTCTTCCTAGGTTTCCCCCTTGACTCGCCTAACTGGCAGTTCTACCACCTGCCTTCTCACCGGTTCTTTCACTCTCGCGACGTCACTTTAACAAGTCCGTCTCCTTCTACTACCGCTTTCCCCACCAAGGTCCCCCAGTCACTCCCCCCCAGCTCCTGGTTCCCTCCCCTCCACCGGTAGCCCCTGCTCCTCCCCCCCCCTCGCCCTGCCCCGTTTGGTGTGTCTCACGTCACCCCACTCCCGTCAGGTGTCCCTGCCGAGGAGTCTGCTGACTCTCGTGACTTGGCGGAGTCACTTCCCCCGCTTGTCCCTGCCATGGTCTCCCCTCCCCTGCCGCCGCCGTTGCTGTCCCAGCCGCAGCCGCAGTCGCCGTCGTCACCGCCGCTGGTTTTCGTGGATTCTGGGGGTGCTAGGGAGCGGGCTGGACCTTGTTCTGGCGAGGGCTCTGGGGGTGTTGGCGTGGGGCTTCTCGGAGGGATCCGTGTTGTCGCTGGAGGTTCCGGTGTTGGAGTCGGACAACAGTCGCAGTCGTCGCCGCCGGTGTCCGCCCTTCGCCTCCTCTGTCTTCCTTCCCCTGATCGCCTGCCAGTGCCTCCCCCGTCGCTACCGCCTCCTCCTCCGCCGGTGCACGGCCCAGTGTTTCCTCCCACGGACTCCTCTCCGGCTCGTTTTCCTCTCCGTTATCCTCATGTGTCTCCTCCCCTCTCTCCTGACCCGACTCCTCCTGCTCACGTCTGGTCTCGTCGCCCGTCTCGTGCTCGTCCTACCTCCCCTGTTCCGCGTTCTCGTGCTCCTCCTCTCCTCCCGTCTCCTCCCCCGTCGTCACTTCCTGTGGCCCCGCCTCCGTTCTCAGACTTCCTCCGTGTTGCGCGTCCCCTTGTTCCTCGTGTCCTTGCCTCTCTCGTTAGCGACCCGTCCGCTCCTGTCTGTCGGCTCTGGTCGCTGCTGTCACTGACTTTGCCGCTACCCGCCGCCTGGACTACGCCACCGCTCTGGTCTCTTACCCTGCCTGCCCTCCGGTCGTCGGGGGTGTGGCTGCTCTTGGCAGTGACATCCTAGAGGACAGGCAGTTCGAGCTCACTTTCCTGTATGAGGCCGCTCCCCATCTCTGTTCCATGCTACTACTCCCTAACGGTGACCCAAACGCCCTTGACATCCCGACCCGTTACACCTACGCTGAGGCCACCTCGGGACCATGAGCCTCCCAGTGGATAGCTGCCATGGAGCAGGAGATGGCATCTTGGAGATCCACCGGTACCTTCGTCGATGCAGTTCCCCCACCTGAGGTGAACGTAGTCGATGGCCGGTGGCTCTTCAAGGTGAAGCGCCCTCCTCGAGAGCCGCATGTCTTCAAGGCGCGCTACGTTGCTCGAGGCTTCAGTCAGCGTGAGGGGGTGGATTTCTTTCAGACCTTCGCCCCGACCCCGAACATGACCACTCATCAGGCACTACTACACGTAGCAGCACAGCGTGACTACGAGCTGCACTCCTTGGACTTCTCCACAGCTTTCCTCCAGGGCAGTCTGCACGAGCAGGTTTACCTGCGCCGCCCCTAGGGCTTCTCCGGTACCTTTCCCCCTGGCACCGAGTGGCTCCTCCGGCGCCCCGTCTACGGCTTGCGCCAGGCGCCTCGTGAGTGGCATGACACGTTGCGTGCTACACTTGCTGACTTGCAGTTCTTCCCTTCGTCTGCAGATCCCTCGCTCTTCGTCCGTTCCGGCCAGACTCTGTTCTACATCCTTGTCTACGTAGACGACCTGGTCTTTGCTACAGCAGATAGAGACGCCCTGGCCTCCGTGAAGGCCGAGCTGCTGAGGAGACACACCTGCACTGACCTAGGAGAGCTGCGCCGCTACCTTGGCTTACAGATCTCTAGGGATAGAGCAGCACGCACCATCACTCCCTCACAGTCACACTTGGTGCGCCAGGTCCTTTAGAGGTTCGGCCTTCAGTTCTCTTCCGCACAGCCCACCCCACTTCCAGTAGACCACAGACTCTCTGCCCCAATCTCGGAGGAGGCTGTAGAGCCTAGTGGTCCCTGTTGGTGCAACCCTATGGCTTGCACTCGGCTTGTCGTCCTTGTTTGTGTGTGTGCATGCATGGCATGGAATGACTTGTGAGTCTATTTCATTGCTACCTAGTGCTTGTGTATGTGTTTGAATGGTGTATCACAATGTGGTTTGTGTCGGTCAAGACATTAGCGAGTTTTTACAACTCGCATGTCAAGTCGTCGTTTGCGCGTCGCATGTGCTTTCTCTATTTTGTCGAGTGTGAAGTGTCCATCTCATCCCAAGTGTGTGCAGCAAGCCCTCATCATCTCAAGATGAGCTGATCTTGCTGAACCAAGACCAAGAGCTCAAGATTTCAAGCCCAAGGGACGTGGACAAATATTAAAATAGTGAAAATAGTAATGCTACTTCAAGTAGTGTTACATTTCACTTGGTGTAGCCCCTTGTTGGGTGTGTTTCGAGTCTCCTCATGGTTGGGGACTCTGTGGTGGTGTACCACCAACTTGGACCTCGGCTCTTGGGGTATGTAGAGGCTGGGAACCATCCCTACCTCGAATTCTTCTTGCTAAGTTTGTACTTCCAAGACTATAGTGGCTGCTATACCTCGTGCCAGTCAAACCGCCATAGGTAGTCAAATCTTCATAGAATTTCATGATTCAAATTGTTGCTGATAGACGACAGCAACGCGCTCGAGACCCAACTTACAGATGACAGTTTGAGTTAGCGAGCAGATCGTTATCAATATTTGAAGCCGTCTGACGGAAATCCGACTGTGCTCTCAATGTCTCATTATAGGCACATTTGAGCCTATTGTGGTTATAACAAGTGGTATCAGAGCCCCTTGGAGCCGTCTCGATCATGTTTAGACCTGAGGAAGGGGGTGGCAGAGGTGCTGGAGGCAGAGAAGACGCCCAAGCACAAGGTCAACACCAAAATCCACCCGTTGCTCCGGTGCAACCTAGCCTTGGACCCTCTAGGGATGAGTCTAGAGTGTTTGGCCTTGACAAGTTCAACGGTGACAAGTCCTTGCAGCAGAGGAGGAAGGAAGGGGGAGAAGGAAGACTCAGCCCCCCAAAAAGGTTGAGCTATGAACGGCTTGGAGGACCAGCCAACTCAACCTTGACCGGTTCGGCTCTCATGCTAGGCGATGATGCGGAAGATGAAAGCGAGGAGTGCGTTTTTGCCTTCTTCTCTCCGGTGGAGATACCGGGGGAGCCTACAAATCTCAAGGAGGCTTGGAAGGGCCCCAATGGGAAGGAGTGGAAGAAGGCCTCAGATGAAGAAATGGGGAGCATCATCGAGAACGACACGTTTGACTTGGTGAACCTACCTCCGGGGCGTAAGGCGATTTCTTCCAAGTGGCTCTTCAAGCGCAAGACCGACGCCGACGGCAATATTGATCGCTACAAGAGCAGACTTGTAGCCAAGGGGTATCATCAGCAAGAGAAGAAGGACTACAATGAAGAAAATGCTCCTGTGGTGAAGGGTACAACCCTTCGAACTCTCTTCGCCGCGGCGGCCATCAAAGGATGGGTGGTGAAGCAAATGGACATCGTAACGGCCTTCCTCAACGGAGTTTTGGAGGAAGAGACCTACATGGAGCAGCCAGAGGGATACAATGATGGGAGTGGCAGAGTGTGGAAGCTGAAGAAAACACTCTATGGCCTCAAGCAAGCCCCTAGGCAATGGTACATCAAGCTGCGGGAAGTCTTGGAGGCGATCAGCTTCACTCCCTCAACGGTCGATCAATCCTTGTTCATGCTAGGTGAGGGGGAGCAGAGGAGCTTCATGGTGGTTTATGTGGATGACATTCTCATATTCTTACCCTCCTCTGACCTTGTGAAGGAGGTGATGCTGAAGCTTCAAGACAAGTTCAAGTGCAAGACCCTTGGTGACGTCAACTACTACCTTGGGCTTCACATTGAGCGAGATGTGGAGAAGCGGTGGATGCGAGTGCATCAAAAGTAGTACTTCAGAGTCCTACTTGGGAAGAGTGAAGGTCATGTGGCTACTCCTCTACCCTCAGGGTTCAAGTGTGTGAAAGGACCAGCGGAGGAAAGTGTTGGTGAAGAGGAGAGGCGCCGTTTTCATTCCTTGGTGGGCAGCCTCATGTATGCGGCCGTTCACACAAGGCCGGATGCAGCCTTTGCTACCGGGCAGCTAGCTAGGGTTGTCCAATGCCCTAATGAGGAGCAGGTAGCAGCTGGAGAGAGGGTGGCCAAGTACCTTGGCCAAACAGCAACTGTTGGACTGCAATACTCCGCGGCGGCACAAAGGCATCAAAAGGGTGCGGATGGAGTCGAACCCGGGAGGCTCTTTCTCACCGCCTTCTCTGATGCATCTTGGGCATCAGAACCAGAGTGAGAGGCTTTATCTGCTGTATTGGTGGAGGACCAACAGCTTGGGAGAGCAAGAAACAAGTGGACCAAGCGTTGAGCTCGGTGGAGTCCGAGTACATGGCACTCTTCCGTGCCATAAGAGAGGTTGCGTGGCAGCGGCGTTTGCTAGCTGAATTGGGGGAGGAACAGCAAGGACCTACCCCACTCTACTGTGATAGCCAGGGTGCTATTGCATTGGCTAGGAACCCCGTTCTTCATGGCCTTACCAAGCACATGAAGGTGAAGTGGCATTGGGTGAGGAGCATGGTAACCGTGGGTGAAGTGGAGTTGCACTACGTGAAGACGACGGCGCAGCCTGCTGATATGATGACCAAGAGGCTGGTTGAGCAGCAGCATTGGAAGTGTTGCAAGCTTGCTGGGATGGCTCTGAACTAAGGGGAGCATATTCTAAGGCCAACTATCCGAGGGGGAGTTTGTTGGTGCAACCCTATGGCTTGCACTCGGCTTGTCGTCCTTGTTTGTGTGTGTGCATGCATGGCATGGAATGATTTTTGAGTCTATTTCATTGCTATCTAGTGCTTGTGTGTGTGTTTGAATGGTGTATCACAATGTGGTTTGTGTCGGTCAAGACGTTAGCGAGTTTTTACAACTCGCATGTCAAGTCGTCGTTTGCGCGTCGCATGTGCTTTCTCTATTTTGTCGAGTGTGAAGTGTCCATCTCATCCCAGGTGTGTGCAGCAAGCCTTCATCATCTCAAGAAGAGCTGATCTTGCTGAACCAAGACCAAGAGCTCAAGATTTCAAGCCCAAGGGACGTGGACAAATATTAAAATAGTGAAAATAGTAATGCTACTTCAAGTAGTGTTACATTTCACTTGGTGTAGCCCCTTGTTGGGTGTGTTTCGAGTCTCCTCATGGTTGGGGACTCTGTGGTGGTGTACCACCAACTTGGACCTCGGCTCTTGGGGTATGTAGAGGCTGGGAACCATCCCTACCTCGAATTCTTCTTGCTCAGTTTGTACTTCCAAGACTATAGTGGCTGCTATACCTCCTGCCAGTCAAACCGCCATAGCGTCGTCAAATCTTCATGGAATTTTATGATTCAAATTGCTGCTAATAGACGACAGCAACGCGCTCAAGAGCCAACTTACATATGACCGTTTGAGTTAGCGAGCAGATCGTTATCAATATTTGAAGCCGTCTGACGGAAATCCGACTGTGCTCTCAATCTCTCATTATAGGCAGATTTGAGCCTATTGTGGTTATAACAGTCCTTACGCAGAGCTGGTGGGTTGCCTCATATACCTGATGACTTGCACTCGCCCAGATCTTGCATACCCTCACAGCATCTTGGCTCACTTTATGGCCCACGGCAGACGCCGACCACAGCATTGGTCGGCCGCTAAGAGGGTTTTGCGTTATCTAGCAAGTACATCAGGCATGGGGCTATTGTTAGGAGGACGTAGACAAGTGGTCCTTAGTGGGCACATAGACGCTTCTTGGGCAGACGACGCCGCGAATCTCAGGTCCTCACAGGGCTACTCCTTTAGCCTTGGTGCATGTGCGATCTCATGGAGGTCCACCCGCTCCTCGTCAGTTGCCCAGTCTAGCTGTGAGGCTGAGACCTACGCCAGTGCCATGGCGGCACAGGGGCTCTGCTGGCTGACCTTCTTGCTCACCGACTTAGGTGAGCGGCCTAGCTCTGCCCCGGTTCTGTACGCTGACAACAAGGCCATGATCCTGTTGTGTCAGGAGCCTCGACTTGAGGGCAGAGAGAAACACATCCAGCTGTGGTACTTCCTCCTGCGCGAGCTGCAGCAGGGTCGCCAGGCTCGTGTAGTACACTTGGCCTCAGGTGCCAATACAGCTTATATCTTTACTAAGGTGTTTGCGCCTAAAGATAATCAGCAGCGCTGTATACAGCTAGGTCTCGTTCCTGTAGCCTCTAAAATAATAACATATATATATATATGCATATACATATATATACGCCATAATCAGTGGTGCAGGTTGGCAGCATCCGAGCCACTGATCTCCAGGAGGGGGGGTGGGTAGGGAGGAGTAAACTACACTAAATGATCGCTAGAAGCCTTGAACAGTCCCGCCGGACTGGCTGATACGGAAGCACGGTAGCTTTACTGTTGTACTTGTTGATTTCCTTGAGCAGCCGTTGGAGCAACAGCAGGAACTGCAACAGCAGTAGTAACAGTAGCAGCAGCAGCTACAACAGCAACATGCTTGTAACACACGATTGTAATACACAAACGCAGCACACGGATGTAAACCTCATCCAATGTGGTTGTGGTTGTGACACGTTCCCGCAAACAGGGTTGGGTATAGCCCAGGGGAGGGGGGGGGGGGGGGGGGGGGGGTTCCCCCCACTCCTCCCGTTTCTATGTGGGCAGGCGGGCGGCCTTGGAGCAGCACTGACCAAAAGGCCTAAAGGCAGAAAGCATAGACCAGAGGGCCCAACTCTCACCCAGGGAGGTTGTCACACGTTCCCGCAAGCAAGATTGGGTACACCCAGTAGGGCGCCCGCCTCGCCACCTCCCCTCCCCCCCCCCCCCCTCCTCCGTTTGTCCGTTGACAAGTGGAAAGCTGGGATTTCCAGTCGTCTAAACAGCGTGGGGGCACGTGGACGGCCTTCGAGCAGCACTGGCCAAAGGCCTGGAGACCAGAAAGCACTGACCAGAGGTTCTAATCTCACCCAGGGCGGTTGTCACACGTTCCTGCAACGAGATTGGGTACAGCCCAGTAGAGAGGCCCCCCCCAATTTCCCCATTCCCGTTACTCTAAGACCAAGAGACCTTTCACAGCGCAACACGCGACCGAATAACGCCTGCTTGGTACAGGTTGCGACTGCAACGACATTTCACGTGACCCTACATGATCCAATATATGCGCACCTGATACAAGTTTCGTGCGGCCTCCACAAACGCCTCATCCTCGGAGGGATGAAGAAGATCCGTCCTCACGGGTCTTGCGGAGAACGCAACGGTCATAAGGAGGAGGAGGATCGGCACGAACTTCAAGAGGCGGGTAACGGGCTTGTGAGCCATGGTTGTATTGCGACGGACCATACTACTCGCCGTGCGACGGACTACACACGCAGTGCGACTCATGTTGCCAGTAATAGCACTCTCACGAACCGCCGTTGCACGGATCATACATCGAACTAGTGACAACGTCACCGCTCGTTTCGCTAGAGAGTTCTAGAATTACGAACCGCAATGCCCTGAACCGCTGTGTGTGAAGACCCAGAATTCCCGCATGACCTCGATCAGTTGACCGCGGTACTACCCACGAGGCCAGTCCGCAACTGTGCGGTCAGTCCGCGGTACGTCGTGGCTCTTCAAGCGAAGTTCGTCTCGGCGCTATTAGGGAAATTATGTTTGACAGCGATCTGGGTCTTTCTTATGGTTCAGGTATGTGACGACGCGAGCCGTAGAGAACCAGATTCTTTCGACGCGAATCCGCCGATGCAACACATATTCCTCACTAGCTACTACAGCTACACCACAAGCAATTCCTTTCCACACTACAGCTTTCCAGGAGCCTTTGACGGAAGCCGTCTCATTGTGCTCTTGTGTCTCACTGAAATTTGACGGAGTCCGTCTGCATGTTGTAAATTGTTCGTGTTGTGCTCTCTTGTGCGTCAAACTCGAGGTGTCTGACGAGCCGCATCTAGGGAGTGCCAAAACATGAGGCATTCCCGCGCAAAACTGGCAAAATCGACTCTGTTGCCCGTAACAGTTCGAACTCCTCCAGCCCCTTGCGAAATCAAGTAGATCGTTGTCCTCGCGAATTGAGCCCCTACGACACCACTTTAAGAGTTCGCTAGTCGCATCAGCAAGCAGGTTGAGGTTGGGCGAAGCGCACGACTTTCGGGAGATCAAGTTACTGAATGTCTGTCCCTCGCGATGGCTAGTACAGAGTATTCCGCTACAAACGAAATCACAATTCAATCATTTGCATACTTTTTTAGACGACCAGACCATATGGATGAAAAGTAGCTTTCCGCCAATAGCATCCGCCAAATTCGCTGCAGCCAGACTTTCGTAGCTCAGCCGCAGCCATTCTCTCCGCCGTGATTGCTGCTGAGCCGTCCGATATTATTTACATGCTATTGGTTGAGCCTATAGCTATTGATGCAGCAGGGGAAGAATCCTGCATCATTGAAGCCGTCAGATCTCCCATCGTTCAGAGAGAATCTTCCACCGTCTAAGAAGTATAAAAGCGAGCAATGAGCCATTGCAAGGCGTCTGACGAGGGGTCTGCTAGTCGCGCTTCAGAAGCAGCAGAGGGACCATCCTCACCTTCAGCAGCGGCTCCAGCAGTCATCGCAGCGCGGCTAGGGCCAGTGACCGCATCGGCACCAGCGGCAGCTGCAGCGCAACGAGCCCCGCCCGCAGCGCGAACCCGCCAATCCACCGTGGCTCCCCTCGTGCTGACGTGTCTTACCGCGCTGCTGATTATCGCCTTAGCGGTAGCCGGACGGGTGGCGCCTCCGGGAGCTCTCAGCGCGATAGCTTGGGGGAGGAGCGCGCGAGAGGGGGAGCGGAGGGGGGAGGAAATGGGGGGGGTGGGGGACAGGAAGGGGGAAGGGGGGGAGACGGGGGAAGGGAAGGGGGAGAGTGAGCCTATTGAGAGAGAGTGCTCTATGACATACATGTGGCCCAGCTACGTTCAGATTCCGATACAGAACCGGAGCCTCGAGCAACAAGGACTAGATTCGAGTGAGTACACCTTGCATGTGATATGTGCTTTCGGCTGAGTGAGTGCAAACGGCCAGGGGGGAAGGGAGTCCACGGTGAGAGGGTGTTAGATGACTTAGATGTGGCCCAGCTACGTTCATATTCCGATGCAGAACCGGAGTCTGGAGCAACAAGGCCTCGATTCGAGTGAGTACACCTTGCACATTTGCTTTCAGGCGAGCGTAACCGGCCAGCGGGGGAGGGAGAGTACGGAGTTAGAGTGCGGTATGCCTCACAGGTTAACGTACATGTGGCCCAACTGGTTTGAGATTCGAATCCACAGCCGAAGGTTGGAGCAACAAGGACTTGACTCAAGTGAGAATAACGTTCAGTTTGTTTTCAGGTGAGCACGATGTTGTCATTGCCTTGTGGTGAGCACAGCACAGTAGCTGGTGCAGCTCAGGTGATTATAACAGACTGTGCCTTCAGATCCGGTTAACTTGTGCTTATAGGAAGTGCTTACAGGAAGTGCTCTATAGGAAGTGCAGACTGTGCCTCCAGATCCGGTTAACTTGTGCTTACAGGAAGTGCTTACAGGAAGTGCTTTACAGAGGAGGAGGTAGCGGCAACAATGGGACTTGATTTGGCCAAAGCATACCCGTTTCTTTTGGGCCTCCTGCTGCTCCCTCCCCAGATCCACTGTACAGCTTGTTCTTATACCGAGAGAGCCACTATATGGGAGGCGGCAGCAGGATGGAGGAAGTGAGGAGGGGCCTCTGTGGGAGCGTGCCTGTGCTCTTTATTCCGGGGAATGCCGGTTGCTACAAGCAGGTGCGCAAAGTGTTGTCGAAAGCTGGTAGTGTAATGTAGGCTACAAGCCCAACGCAGGTTGTTGAAAGCAGCATGGAGAAAGTGCGGAGGGGTGTCTGTAGGAGTGTGCCCGAGCTCTACATTCCAGGCAATGCGGGTTGCTACAAGAGGTGTGTAATGTGGGCTCCTGTGTGCAGGCGATGTGATCTTGATTGTGGGAGGCTTGCCTTGATTGAGCTGGTAGTGTAATGTGAGTGGGAGGGTGGGCGGGCATCCGTGGGAGCAATCCAGTGCCAGTTGCTACAAGCAGGTAACACTATAAGGGGTACAATGCGGATTGTTGCGAGCAAGTGGATGTTTGTTCTTACTTTTCTTTTACTCATAGCCCATTCTCACCCCAACCCAACCCCCACCGATACCCACTCAATCAGGTCCGCTCCCTTGCATCTGTATCCCACCACATCTACCTCGCCTCTCACACCCAAGACAAGCCAAGGGAGCGCTCTCCCTGCTTCCTCTGTAGCGAAGAGGGGGGCGCAGCAGAATCAGCAGAAGGAGCGGCAGCAGCAGCAGCAGCAACAGAAGCACTTGGAGCAAGGGAGGGCAAGCAGGACTCCCAGGGTTATCCATCTCCCCTGGCGTGGTTCTCCGTGGACTTGAGGGAGCACCTCTCTGCTCTGGATGGCTCGCTGTTGAGAAGGCAGGCAGCCTTTGTTGCAGCTGCTGTCACTGAGGTGGGTGTCTGTTCACTTGTGTGTCAAGGGGTCTCAGGGTTATTTATCTCTCCTAGCGTGGTTCTCCGTGGACTTGAGGGAGCACCTCTCTGCTTTAGACAGCTCCCTGTTGAGAAGGCAGGGAGCCTTTGTTGCTGCTGCTGTCACTGAGGTGGGCGTCTGCTCACTTGTGTGTCGAGGGCTCTCAACCTTATCCATCTCCCCTCCCCTGGCGTCGTTCTCTGTGGACTTGAGGGAGCACATCTCTGCTCTTGACAGCACTCTGCTGCTGAAACAAGCGGCCTTTGTTGCTGCTTCCGTCACTGAGGTGGGCGTCTGCTGCATGTGTATACGTGCAAAGGGTTGTATACGTGCAAAGGGTTGTATACGTGCAAAGGGTTGTATACGTGCAAAGGGTTGTATACGTGCAAAGGGTTGTATACGTGCAAAGGGTTCTGAACCTTATCTGTCTCCCCTGGCGTGGCTCTTTGGAGACTTGAGGGAGCACCTGTCTGCCCCTGGCACTCTATTTATGTTGGTGCTGCCATCACTGGTTTTAGTGAATCTGTGGGTATCTGTGAGTGCGTGGCTCTTCGTAGCCTCGAGGGAGCACCAAAGTTCACGAAAGAACGTCCCTTCTTCTCCACCTCTTCTCCACCTTTTCTCCACCTCTTCTCCACCTTTTCCTTCTCCTTGCCCTCCTGTTCACAGACTGTGTCGCTCGAGGGAGCACCAAAGTACACTCATCCTATGCTTTCCAGACCACCCTCCCTTCCTCTGTACTCGACAAAAACTACAGTGACAAATACCTACTGGGGGGGTACTCGTTGGAAGTTATTGTTGCCTGCCTGACAACCTCTCTGTGATTTTGTGCCCGCTCCTCCCCCCCCCTTCTCCCCTTCATCCTCTCTGTCCTTTCAGCTCATATCCCTCTGCAGTTCACCCTGCGCTTTTAAGCCCTCCCCACCCCACCCTCCTCTGTGCTGCTAGTGGGGCACTCCATGGGGATTTTTTTGCCCGCCTGACTACCTCTCTACAGCTCACTTTATGCCTTGCTCTCCTTTCGCCCTCCCCCCCCTCCCCCCCTCTCCCCCCTTCACCCTCTCCGTCCGTTCAGATTCGTTCCCTCTACCGTTCGTCCTGTGCTTCCAATCTCCCCCCCCCCTCCTCTGTGCTGCTTGTGGGGCACTCTATGGGGGGGATAGTTGCCCGCCTGGCTGAAAGGAGGCTGAGAGGGGGAGAACAAGCGGAGAGGGAGGATAAGGTGGAGGAGTGTGCGTGGGAGGGAGCATCACGGGGAGGAGAAGGAGGAAAGAGAGCAGAAGGAGCAGAAGGAGTAGGGGGAGGAGGAGGAGCAGAAGAGCAAGAAGAGGTGCTACGCAGAAGGCAGTGCATGGAGTCGAGGCAGCAACATGCCGTGCAGACCATTGTTACCATCGCCACACCTCACAGGCAGGTCTCACACTCTCCATTTTTAAGGCATTTAAGAATATTTGCGAGGCTATTTTTGAGGCGCCTCAAAAAGAGTCCGGACAGCAGCATGCCGTGCAAACCATTGTTACCATCGCCACACCTCACAGGCAGGTGTCACACCCTCCCTCCCTCCCCCGAGTGCGTTCCAATTTCTAAGCTTCCTAAAGAGCAGAGCACATGACAGCAGAGGAGTCTATTTTTGAGGCGCCTCAAAAATAGCACATGACAGCAGCAGCATGCCGTGCAGACCATTGTAACCATCGCCACACACACCTCTGTTAGAATATACCATGCTATGCTAGTTGTGTATATTGTGTTTACATCCCTAGTTGGGTGTACACCTGTGTTGGGGTGTCAATCCAACCCAATTGTGGTTGGAGCCCCCAAACACAAGGACCACAATTGTGGGGGCACCACAAGTGGGTTGGCTAAACCACTGGTGGTACACCACACTTGGACCACCTCCAACTGGTGGTCAACCACCTTTGGAAGGATCCTCCCTCCCTTGTGATTGGTCCTAACCCCCCTTTCCCTTCCAACCTTCCCTTCCTAGCTCATCTCTCTCTTCCTATGTAATGCCTTTGCTTCATCAATAAACTGAACCTTTCTGTTTCTAACATGGTATAAAGCAATAATGGCTCACGCCAACTTTTAAATCCCGATCCTTCCCCACGCTTCCGCCCCGTCCCCTTCCGACGTGCACCTCATTGCCGTCCCCTCCATCGCCGCTGCTAGACTCCTAGCCGCCGCCTCTCAACTAGTTTTCTGTTGGGTGGATTTTCAAAAACCCCCAATGCGCCAAACGCCATAGCTCGCTCGATAGTTGATAGAATTGAGTGATTCGACTTGCAAAAGAACGCTCTTGGTGTCAGCTACAACGTCGTAAAATTTCGGACTGTTTCATCGCTTGGATTGTCAGATATCGCTTTCCGAAGTTTGCACACTTTCCTGGATGTGATCACGAAGTGCTACTGAAATTTCTACCAAGTCCTATTTTCATCAGCTAACTGCCATCTTTCCCCATCTTTTGCCTCCTCACCTGCACCTGCTCATCGCCGCCTTACCACTGCTGCAGCCATAGCAGCAGCAGCAGAAGCAGCAGCAGCACCAGAAGGAGCAGCAGACTCAGCAGCAGCAGCACCAGCAGCAGTAGCAGCCAGCAGCAGCAGCAGCTGAAGGAGCAGCAGCAGCAGCAGCAGCAGCAACAGCGGCAGCAGCAGCAGTGGCAGCAGCAGCAGCGTCAGCAGCAGCAGCAGCAAAAGCAGCAGCAGCAGCAGCAGAAGGAGCAGCAGCAGCAGCAGCAGCAGCAGAAGGAGCAGCAGCAGCAGCAGCAGCAGCAGCAGCAGCAGCAGCAGCAGCAGTATCTACAGCCATCCCCATCCTCCCCTCCTCTTTGAGCCGCCGCGGGTCCACCCGCCGCCGCTCCCTCCCGGCCACCGCGGGTCCACCCGCCGTCGCCTTCCTCCCACTCCGTGTCACCAATGGCATCCTTTCCCCCTACCGTCGACGTCTCGACCCTCGATCATCTCGTGCGCGCTGCCGACAACTCAGCAACCAACTGGTATTCCTTCGTCGGCAGCCTCCACCGCGTCCTCGGCAGTGCTTATGTCCTGCCGTTCCGCCTCCTGGACATCATGCTTGGTCTCCCAGAGGGTGACCTTGGGGACCCGCCGCCTCACCCTGGCGATCCCCCCCCTCTCATTCCCCATCCCGGCGAGGAACCTCCGCCCCCCATGGTACCCGTTGGCACCAGCACTCGCGCTGCCACCGCTGAAGTTGAGCAGCTCTTCCTTACTCAGCGTCGTGAGTTCCTCGTGCTCCATACTGATTACCTGATCGCGTTGGAGGAACACGAGCGGTCGGCAACCCTCCGCACCCAGCATGCCGCTACCGTCGCCGCTTATGCCGCTGACTCTGCGCAATTTGCTGAGCGTCGTCGCGCCTGGCTCGAGGCGGACAGCCGTGCTACTGGTGCCCTTCTCCTTGCCATCCCGTCTGCGCTCATGCGCAACTTCCAGGCACGTCGCATCGGCTCCCGCCAGATCTGGCTCGAGCTTGAGGCAATGTTCGAACGCACCGACTTCGATGCTGTCGGACCGCTCTTCAAGGAATACTTCAGCATCACGATCGAACACAGTGCTGGCGCCGTTGACTACACCAGCCGTCTCCTGGACCTTGCCTCCCGCCTTGAGGCTCGCCAGACTACTCTCCCCCCCAACCTTCAGATCTACCGTCTCCTCGAAGGCCTCTCCCCTCAATATGAAGTGCGCGTCATCGCCTTCACTGAGGCTCAGCCCCGCGCCTCCCTTGACACTGTGGTCCAATGGATCATTGACGCTGAGGCCCGCCTTCTCTCAACCCCCCCCTCCGGCCTGAACTCCACCGAGTCCCAAAACCCCCAGCTTGCAGTCACACAGCCGCGTCGTGGCGGGCGCCCACGTGGCGGCCGCACCAACCCTCAGGGAGGGGGTGGAGGTGGCGGTTGTGGGGGCAGCGGAGCCGGCGGCGGTGGTGGCGGGGTCGAGGGTGGCAGCAGTGGTGGTGGTGGAGGCAGTGGTGGCTCATCTGGTAGCCGTGGTGGCCGCCCTGGCACTCTCCCCCATGTTCCTATCTTCGCCGTTTTGGTCCCAGGGCGGGTGAGCGCTGCACCCAAACCAACCATCCCCCCGCGACCTGCTTCAAGGCGTATGATGACGCCTGGTTCGAGCGCGGCAACACTGGCACACCCCCACGCTGGTCTGCCATGGATCCCCGCCCCTCTCTCCAGGATGTCAAAACTCTTCCGTCTTTTCTCCCCTCTCATCTTCAGCTCTCCTCCTCCTCCTCCTCCTCTGTCGCTGACCCCATAACTCCCCAGGAGCTGCAGCAGTTTCGCCGCTTCTAGCAGCTGCAGCTGCTGCAGCAGCAGCAGCAGTGGGGCTCTGGTGGTCAGGCTGCAGCCGCAGCTGCAGGAGCCGCAGCCGCAGCATCTGCATGGCAGCAGCAGCAGCTTGGCTTTGGCACCGCCGCCATGGCTGCCACAGCCACACCAGGTCCTCCTGGCTTTCCCCTCTGGGGCTCTCCTTCCCCTAGTGCTCCCGCCTCCCACTCCAGCTTTCTAGGCGAGCTCATGCGTTCTTCCCCTGCTTCCACTTCCATGTATCCCTCTGTTTTTAATGCCAGTGATTTCCAGTACCCCGTGTCTTCAGCTCCCTCCTCGCTCACGATTGACTTTGTTCTCGATAGTGGTGCCACTGAAACTGCCCTCAAAGACGCCGGCACCCTCACCTCCCTCCCTTTCCCCACCAACGTTCATGGTGCTGATTCCAGCTTCTCCATCCCTTGCACTCATCTCTCCACCCTCCCCTGCCCCCCCTTCCCCTCTGGAGTGGTCACTGGTCTCCACATTCCCTCCCTTCGTCATAACCTGCTCTCCATTCGTGAACTCCAACAGGCTGGCATCACTACCCTCTTCCCCGCCTCTGCCACCTACTGTGACCTCCTGCACGGCCCCACTCGCCGCCTCCTTCATCGCCTCCCACTTTGCCCTCGCTCTCGTCAGTACATCCTCCGCACACCCCGCCCCTCCTCATGCCACGTGACCACTCGTGCAGGCACCTCCACTCTCCCCCCTCCCCTCCCTCTAGAGCCACCTTTCTCCAACTCCACCTCCTCCCCATGCTCTTGTCGCGCACTATCCCACCCCGCTGTTCTCGTCCACCACCGCCTTGGTCATATGAACTTTCCCACACTTCGTAAAGCCGTCTCCTCCCGCTTGCTTGACGGTCTTCCCCCCACTCTTCCTCCCCTCCCGTCCTCTTCCGCTCCCCCATGCGCCACATGCATTCATGGAAAGCTCAAACAACAGCCTCACCTCAGCCATCCTTCCTTTGCTGCTGCCCCCCTTGACCTCGTCCACATGGACCTCTGGGGCCCTAACCCTTCCCCTTCCCGCCAAGGGCACCGGTACATGCTTGTCCTAGTCGACGACCACAGCAGGTACTCCTCGGTGTTCCTCCTCCATACGAAGGCCGAGGCCCCTGCTGTCATCGTTACCTGGGCCGAGCAGTGTCGAGTCCACTTTGGTCGCCCCATCCGCCGCCTCCATTCCGACGGCGGTGGTGAGTTTCTCAACCGCACCCTCTCCTCCTACTGCTCAACCCATGGGCATCCAGCAGACTCATACCCTTCCCACTCCCCTCAGCAGAACGGTGTTGCTGAGAGTCGCATTCGTGAGATCACCAAGACGGCCCGCTGCTCCTCACTCATGCCTCCACGCCCCCTTCTCTTTGGGGCTATGCCCTTGTCCATGGCTGCTCTCCTTACTAATCTTTACCCACATCCTCAACGCCAGTCTGTCACTCCCACTGAGCTCTGGGCTAGCACCAAGCCAGATGCTGCCATTCTCCGTATCTGGGGTTGCAAGGCATATGTCCTCATCCCCCACCTGACCGCTCTCGGCAGGCAGGAAAGCTCGCCTCCAAGGCCATTGAGTGTGTCTACCTTGACCACGCTCGCTCTGCCCCTGGTTACCTCTTCCTTCACCCGTCCTCAGGCCGCCTCCTACAGAGCCGTGACGTGGTGTTCGATGAGAGCCATCCCGTTCTATCATTCTGTTCCGCCTTCCGACCCCCTTCCTCCTCTCTCCCGCCCCCTCACCTGGGCTGATGCTGTCATTCCCCCACTCCTTCCCCAGGCTCCCCTCCTTCCTCCAAATCCTGCTCCTCCCCCTCCTCCTTCCTCAGGTGACATTTACGACCCAGCTGTCCCTGACTCCCCTGCTCACTCTGCCTCATCACACCAGCACCAGCAGCAGCAGCAGCAGCAGCAGCAGCAGCAGCAGCAGCAGAAGGAGCAGCAGCAGCAGCAGCAGCAACAGCAGCAGCAGCAGGCAGCAGCAGCAGCGGAGCAGCAGCAGCAGCAGCAGCAGCAGGAAGTGCAGCAGCGGAGGAGGCAGCAGCTGAGCAGCAGCAGCAGCAACCGCAGGCAGTGCAGCAATTGCAGCCGCAGCAGGAGGTGCAGCAGCAGCACCAGCAGCAGCCACAGCAGCAGCAGCAGCAGCAGCATCAGCCACTGCAGCAACCTCATCGGCATCGCCGCACCACCTCTCCGTTCATCCTCCCACGCATCCACACTCGCTCTCACGGCCCACTCATAGGCCATCCATGGGGTTGGCCAACACCACCCCACCCTCCCTTCCCTTCATTGAGGACTCCCATGAGGAGCTCATTGGCGTTCAGAAACAAACACCTTCCCTCACGCCTCTCTACCCGGGCTTCCTTGGCCTCCTCATCCTTGGCATCGCTACCGCTCCCACCAGATTCACTCCGTCCAACTTCCTTGAGGCCATCACCTGCCCCGATGCTGCCAAGTGGATCCAGGCTATCTTTGCTGAATGCGAGGCCTTCATCCGCAATGCCTCATTCGTTAACATTGTCCCCTCTCCTGACGACGTCATTGTTGAAGGCCTGTGGGTGTTCCGAGTGAAGCAGCTGCCGGGTGAGGAGCCGGTCTACAAGGCCCGGTATTGTGCCAAGGGCTTCACCCAAACCCATGGCATCGACTACTGGGAGACATTCTCTCCCACTGCCAAGCTCCCAACTCTCCGTGCCATCCTCGACTATGCTGTTCGCATTGGCATGGAGATTGCCTCCATGGATGTCTCCAACGCCTTCCTGCAAGGCGAGCTCCAGGAGCGGGTCCTCTTGCGGCGGCCTCCAGGCTTTCATGCAGCCTTCCCTGCCAACACAGTCTGGGAGCTGCGCCGCCCGGTTTATGGCCTCAAGCAGGCTCCTCGCGAGTGGCACAACAAGCTGGCCGCCACTCTGCAGTCCTTGGGGTTCCATGCCTCTCAGTCTGATGCCAGCCTTTTCCTTCGCTCCTCTCCCACCCGCTTCTTCATCCTGGTGTATGTCGACGACATGATCCTGTTCGCTGACGATGCTGCCGCCATGCAGCAAGTGAAGGACGCCCTGCATGCGCGCCTCAAGTGCAAGGACCTGGGTGAGCTCAAGCACTATCTGGGCATGACCATCACCCGGGACCGCACATCGCGCACCATTACCCTCTCTCAGTCCTTCTACATCGACCAACTCTTGCAGCGGTTCGACATGGCGCAGGCCAAGCCGGTTACCACTCCCCTGCAGACCGACCACCAGCTTGCCCCTCCTCCTGCTCCCTCCTCCTCTGACCATCCTTACGCTGAGCTCGTCGGCTCGCTGATGTACGCTATGATGTGCACCCGCCCCGACCTTGCCTACCCCATCAGTGTTCTTGCTCGATTCGTCGTGGTACCGGTCGCCACACTGATGAGCACTGGGCTGCAGCGAAGCGGGTCCTCCGCTACCTCCGTGGTACCAAGGACTATGTCCTCACCCTCGGAGGCTCTTCTCCTCCCCTCCTCTCTGGCTTCAGTGACTCCTCCTGGGCTGACTCCCAGCCGGATCGCCGTTCCTCTCAAGGCTACGGCTTCACCCCTTGGCAGCGCCTCATCAGCTGGCGCTCCACTCGCTCCTCCTCCATCGCCCTCTCATCCCTGCGAGGCTGAGCTCTATGCTTGCACCATGGCCGCTCAGGAGGCTCGCTGGCTCACCTTCCTCCTTGCTGAGATCGGTGCTCCTCAGCGCTGTCCCACCCTCTGGTGCGACAACGCCAGCACCATCCATCTCACAAAGGACCCTGTCTTCCATGGCCGCTCCAAGCACATTGAACTCCGCTACTTCTTCGTTCGAGAGTTGGTCCAGCAAGGTCACTTGGTGGTCCGCAAGATCGCTGCAGAGGCCAACTTGGCCGACATCTTCACCAAGGCCCTCCCGAAGACCGCGCACTCTGCCCTCCTCCGCCTTCTCGGCCTTGGGCCCCGCCCCCCTTCCTGATTCTGGGGTTGTACCCTACATATACACTAGCTTTGCATGCTATGGGGTTGTGTTAGAATATACCATGCTATGCTAGTTGTGTATATTGTGTTTACATCCCTAGTTGGGTGTACACCTGTGTTGGGGTGTCAATCCAACCCAATTGTGGTTGGAGCCCCCAAACACAAGGACCACAATTGTGGGGGCACCACAAGTGGGTTGGCTAAACCACTGGTGGTACACCACACTTGGACCACCTCCAACTGGTGGTCAACCACATTTGGAAGGATCCTCCCTCCCTTGTGATTGGTCCTAAACCCCCCTTTCCCTTCCAACCTTCCCTTCCTAGCTCATCTCTCTCTTCCTATGTAATGCCTTTGCTTCATCAATAAACTGAACCTTTCTGTTTCTAACAACCTCACAGGCAGGTCTCACACCCTCCCGCCCAAGTGCATTTGAGTGCCAGGGTTTGTTTGTTTTCAGCCACCCACGCCTCGTACACTGCCCCCACTCGGCCTTTTGAGTCCGATTGATTGGCATTTCAGTGCTTGGTTTTTGAGTCGACTCAAAAATCGACTCATTACACACGTCCAATTGATAGGCATTTCAGTGCTTGGTTTTGTTTACAGCTGCCCTCAGGATAGCCCCCACCCCCCCCGCTCCTGTATCCTGCCCAGTCAATAGAATGCACTTTCCGTTCCTCCTCATTTTTCCTCCTCACTCTTGGCCCTGCTTCCAATCCCTTTCCCATCCCTTTCCCCCAGCCTCCCGCCCCTCCCCTGCAGCCGTCCCTGCTGTCCTTCTACCGCTCCCTCAACCGCCATCCCACCAGCCAGAAACACATCTGACCATTCTTCCTCCCTTCGCATGTTGTCTGTTTGCCCCCCCTTTCCCCCAGCCTCCCTCCCCTTTCCCTACAGCCGTCCCTGCTGTCCCTCTACCGCTCCCTCAACCACCACCCTTCCCTCCCTTGTACTGTTCTCGTCTCCTCCCTTTTCTTCCTGTGTACTGGTCCGCTTTTTTCCCCAGCCTCCCTCCCCTCCCCCTACAGCCCTCCCTGCTCTCCTTCTACCGCTCCCTCAACCACCATTCTTCACGCTCTCCCTCCTCCCTGCTGCTCGTCGCCTCTCTTGCTGCTGGCCACTCCGACTGGCAGGTAAGAGACCTGCTGTAGATAGTGAATTGATTACTTGAGGGATAGTGAAATTTCTTGAAGGCGAGTTAATAAACTGATAAACAGATGGCAAAATAGACGACTAAGATAGTATCTGTTCAAGGATGGGTGAGCACCCTGAGATGCCTTTCAAGAACTTTTCGAAAATGTTTCTTAGCACTTTTGGATTAGTGTATGCACGAGGTAACTTCACAAATTACATTGTGTGTTTCAAGTCAAATTCTCCATTCACCTGTCTCCTTTGTGTATTCTCTGTTGCTCCCCCCTCGCATTTCCGTAGGTGATTTTTGACTCGCTAAAAAAATCTCCCCCCCCCACAATTCCTACCACTTGGTGCTTCACAAACAGATTCTCCTTGCAACCTCTTCCCCCCTCCCCTCCCCCCCTTCCCCCTTCCCCCCCGCTCTCCCCCAGGTGCGCTCATGGGCTACAGCAGTTCCCCCGTCCCCAGATGCAACCTCCCTGCACCTCCCGTTCACCACGTCCCCTCACGTGTGGCTCTCAGCGGGGCACGAACAAGCAGTGTGGTGCAACCAGCCCGTGTCACAGGTATGTAGTGGTGGTGCCGGCCGGAATGGTCTTTATGCGCACGTGTGGTGGTGCATGCCCCCTCACGTGTGGCACTCTGCGGGGCACGAGCAAGCAGTGTGGTGCAACCAGCCCGTGTCACAGGTAGGCATGTGCAGGTGGTGGTTTCACGAGCAGTCATCACGTAGTCAGTGCCAGGCAAAGCTCCCCCCACCCTATCACTAGTCAACCCTCGCACATTGCACCTTTGAGTCGACTCAAAGTCATATTACACCCCTCACGACCCACATTCTGAGGCGCCTCAAAAGCTCCCCCCACCGCATCACTAGTCAACCCTCGCACATTGCACCCCTCATCACCCACATTCCCTCCTCCCCCTCCTCCCCCTCCTCCCCATCCTCCCCATCCTCCCCCTCCTCCCCCTCTTCCCCCTCTTCCCCCTCTTCCCCCTCTCCCCCTCTCCCGCCCTTTCCGTCTGCTCTTTAACAGCTCTCCCACGCTATCCTAGCACTGGTCAACCCACACACGTCGCTCAGCCTTTCTCGTCCCTCCACACTCAATTCCCCGCCCTGTCTCCCCTCTCTTTTTTGAGGCGCGTAAAAAATAGACTTCCCACGCTATCCGATCCCTGGTCAACCCACACATGTCTCTCAGCCCTTCTCGTCCCTCCACACCCAAGTCCCCGCCCTGTCTCCCCTCTCTCCCAACCTCTGCCTTCCGTGAGCTCTCCCACGCGCTGCTATCACTGGTCAACCCACACGCATCTCAGCCCTTCTCTCTCGAATCTAGCCCCCAACACCCCGCCCTCTCCCCCCTCTCTCCCCCCCATCGTTACTGCTGTCAGCTCTCCCACGCCCTCCTATCACTGGTCACGCACACACAATCTCAGCCCTTCTCTCCCCCATCTGAACCCCCACTCTCCTCTCTCCCCACTCTCCCTTCCCTCCACCCCGGCCCGCCATCAGCTCTCCCACGGCCCTTCTCGTTCCCTGACACCCAATTCCCTGCCCTGCCCTGCCCTGCCCCCCTTTTCTCCCCACCCCTGCCACCGTCAGCTCTCCCACGCCCTGCTATCACTGGTCAACCCACACACATCACAGCCCTTCTCGTCCCTCAACACCCGCCGAGGAATCGTCTCCTGCCACCTGTCGTCCGCACCTCTCGTCCTGCGGCCTTTGAGGCAACAGCAGCAGCAGCAGCAGCAGCAGCAGCAGAAGCAGCAGAAGCAAGAGCAGCAAAATGGTGACAGCTATAGAGGAGTGCACGATCAAGCCACATCAGTGCAGCTGCATGGGTCCGTCCCATTTGCTCACAAGTGGGCCTCAGAGGCGCAGAAGTCGTTCTCCCTTCGAGTCGACCTGCCAGTGAGTTGAGGCGCTATGATGATGCGAGTGTGCATGGTAACATGCTTCTGAGCCACCTTCCGTGTGTAATGAGTGGATTTTTTTAGTCGACTAAAAAATCGACTCATTACACGTTATGATGCAAGTGTGCATGGTAACGTGCTTCTGAGCCACCTTCTTAGGACTGGGTGACTGACCGGGGCCTTCCAATTTCTTCTTCCTTGCACTTCCCCTCATCTTCCCCACCGCCCCCACCCCCCCCGCCCCCTCCCCCCCGTGCAGACTAAATCACTATCACCACATTCTAGGGGCAGCAGCAGTGGTCTGGTTCTCCTATCGAATGTGCTTCCCTGTGATGGCATGAGGGTCACCCTCGATGTAGCAACCAGGCGTGCAAGTGGGGGATGATGAGAGGCGAGGAGAGGAGAGGCACTTGCAGAGGGACGATGAGAGGCGAGGAGAGGAGAGGCACTTGCAGAGGGACGATGAGAGGCGAGGAGAGGAGAGGCACTTGCAGAGGGACGATGAGAGGCGAGGAGAGGAGAGGCACTTGCAGAGGGACGATGAGAGGCGAGGAGAGGAGAGGCACTTGCAGAGGGACGATGAGAGGCGAGGAGAGGAGAGGCACTTGCAGAGGGACGATGAGAGGCGAGGAGAGGAGAGGCACTTGCAGAGGGACGATGAGAGGCGAGGAGAGGAGAGGCACTTGCAGAGGGACGATGAGAGGCGAGGAGAGGAGAGGCACTTGCAGAGGGACGATGAGAGGCGAGGAGAGGAGAGGCACTTGCAGAGGGACGATGAGAGGCGAGGAGAGGAGAGGCACTTGCAGAGGGACGATGAGAGGCGAGGAGAGGAGAGGCACTTGCAGAGGGACGATGAGAGGCGAGGAGAGGAGAGGCACTTGCAGAGGGACGATGAGAGGCGAGGAGAGGAGAGGCACTTGCAGAGGGACGATGAGAGGCGAGGAGAGGAGAGGCACTTGCAGAGGGACGATGAGAGGCGAGGAGAGGAGAGGCACTTGCAGAGGGACGATGAGAGGCGAGGAGAGGAGAGGCACTTGCAGAGGGACGATGAGAGGCGAGGAGAGGAGAGGCACTTGCAGAGGGACGATGAGAGGCGAGGAGAGGAGAGGCACTTGCAGAGGGACGATGAGAGGCGAGGAGAGGAGAGGCACTTGCAGAGGGACGATGAGAGGCGAGGAGAGGAGAGGCACTTGCAGAGGGACGATGAGAGGCGAGGAGAGGAGAGGCACTTGCAGAGGGACGATGAGAGGCGAGGAGAGGAGAGGCACTTGCAGAGGACGATGAGAGGCGAGGAGAGGAGAGGCACTTGCAGAGGGATGATGAGAGGCGAGGAGAGGAGAGGCACTTGCTGAGGGATGATGAGAGGCGAGGAGAGGAGAGGCACTTGCAGAGGGATGATGCGAGGAGAGAGACTTTTGAGGCGCCTCAGAGGGATGGGGATGAGATGAGGGAAGGCTACGAGGGAGAGCAGGCGGAGGGTAGGAAGCAGGGGGTGAGGAGAGAGGGTGTGGAAAATGTGGAGCATGGGAGTAAAGAGGGGAAGGAGGAGGGGAGGTGTGACGGTGCAGATGAGGGTGACGTGTCATCTTATGATTTGATACGGCTGCTGGTGCATCTGCCTTCTCCGCCCAGAGATAGTGGATTTGTAAGTGCCCTGTCCTTGTGCCTTCTCCCATCAGTATGCGTTGGAGTGCAATTTGGCATCAATCTCTCTCTGTATTTGTTTAGTAGTGTTTACGCTTGTGAAATTAATGAGACTACAGCGAATCGAGGCACATTGCCATCCCCTCTCGTCCTGTTCTCCCTCCTCCCTCCCTTCCCTTCGCACCAGTCCCTCCCAATGTCACCAGCATCACAGCAGGTCACAGGACAGGTGCTACAGCCATCAACCGTTGCCCTGCTCCCTCCCCATTGCCCCTTTCCCTCCCATCATCGTCCTCCCCTCCCATATTGCCTCTCCCTCCTTCCCTCCCTCCCTCCCTCCCTCCCTCTGTCCGTCCCAGTCCCTCCCAGTGTCACCAGCATCACAGCACGTCACAGGGCAGGTTCCCCAGCCGACACCTCTTTCCCTGCTCATGCTGCCTCTGGAGATACCAAAAAGGGGGGGCGTAATAACTGCTACTTTCCATGTGAATATCAGTACCAAGGTCTGTCTGGAGTTCAAGCCCCGGTGCAAACCCAATAGAAACACCCTACACTGTATTCCAATTTCCACCATCAAATCAAATCAAATCAATGGCAATACTTGAGGAGGCACAGGAAAATTAGATAGCAAAGAAACGCATCCACAATCCCACCATCCATCTACTCTTCCTTCTCCCCCTTCTTCCTATACCTATGCTCCCCATCTCTTCTATTGTTTCACAGGGCAAACCTCGGCCCCCTCTCCACTTCCTTTCTGTGGGACTGGCGCCGCTCCCCCTTCATTCTCCATTCGCCCCCTCCTCCTCCTCTCCATCCCACTCCTCTCCCTCCAACTCCCTCTCCCTCCTATCCTTGGTTTCCTCCATCTTTCGACCTCTGCACCTGGTAAGCCAAGCCAGAGTTAACCCCTCACTTTTCAGCCCCCTCTCCTCCCCTGCTCCCCACTCCACCAACCACCCCTCACTTCCCCCCGCCCATCCTGAATACTTTAAACCAGCCCATGCTTTTGCCGAAAAGTCTGAAAGGAGACACTTCATGCAATCACATTTTTGCCCTGTTGTGTGCTCGTGTAGTAGTTTTTTTTTAACTGCCCGTGCTTCCAATCCTCTCCAACACCTTCCTCACCAACACTCAGCCATTATCATCAGGCTCATCCTATCAGCAGCAGCAGCAGCAGGGGAAGCCGCAGGCGAACGGACAGCACTCACACCAGCAGCAGCAGAAACGGCAGCAGCAGCAGCAGCAGCAGCAGCAGCTTCTTTCAGTATTCTCCCTCCCGCCTGCTGCTGCTCATCTCTCGCTCCACCTTCGCCTGCTGCCCTCTCATTCTCCCACCACCTCCCATCCTTCTGGTACGTTCCTCCAGCTCTCCCTCCCCCATCTCACTCCCTCCTGCCTGCTGCTGTCCATCTCCCTCTCCACCTTCGCCTGCTGCCAACTCAACCAACCACCAACCCCCCTTCACCTGGTACGTTCCCCCACCTTTCGTCCTTCCGTCTCCCCCATTTTTTGGTCGACTCAAACAATGACTTCGACTCGAGATAACTTTTGAGTCGACTCAAAATTCTTCGCCTGCTGCGGACTCAACCAACCACCACCCCACCTTCACCTCATACGTTCCTCCACCTGTCGGTCTTCCATCTCCCCCATTCCCTCCATTCTCCATGTCTCCATACTTCCACTCTTCCACCTCCTCCAACCACTCTCTCCCCCCCCCCACTCACCCCACCCGTTCTCTCTCTCCTTTCTGTCGCAGAAATGCAGCCAAACTCCACCGGGTGCCACCCTGCTGTCGCCATTCTGGCATCTGCTGATGCCGCTGCTTCTGAGGCTGCGACAGCCGGCGGTGGCCCAGGGCACGGGTCCAGTCAAGGGAGCTATAAGATCCAATATACCCACACCTTCCATCAGTCCGCCCTTTTAGAGCTCGACTCGCCTCCACCCCACCTCACTCGCCCCTCTTGCCACCACTGCAATCACCACCATGGCAATCACCACCACCACTGCCACTACCTTTCGCACAAGCATCAAGAGGAAAGCGGGGGATCAGAGCCACACTGCCACTCTCAGAGTGGCAATGGCAGTGGCGGTTCCTCGAGTGGCCTCTCCTTGATGCTGCTGGTAAGGCATGAATGCGTCAAGCTCCCCTCCCCCCCCCCTACTATTATTTTTTCCCTTTCCACGTAACCCAACGTTTTTTCTTGCATTTGAAAGGAGGAAGAGGGAAGAAAATAAGGTTCACTAGAACCTGTTCTTGAGTCAACTCAAAAGAATAAGATTCGCTAGAATTCCCTCATCGCCTGCCTTTCACAAACCCTATTCCCACCCTCATCTCCTCTTTTTGAGGCGCCTAAAAAATAGACATCGCCTCTACCCCCTAACCCCCTTCATCCATCCCCCCCCTTCAGGTCGACCCCTCGTGCCCCTCCTCCCTCCTCCTCTCCGTGGACCTCCCTCGCTCCCTCACCTCCCTCCTCCTCTCCTCCCTCCCTCTCCTCATCGGCTCAGCCCTCTCCCTCACGCTCTGCGCCTCCTCCTACCACTTCTCTCACTCACTCTCCCTCACTCACTCACTCTCACGCTCTCACTCCCAATCCACTTCAACATCCAGCCCACTAGCCTTTACATCACCTTCCCCCTCACCCTCCTCTTTCCCTCCCCCCTCCTTCCACAATCTCCCCTCCCTCCTCTCTCTCACTGCCTCGTCTCCTTGGCCTTCTCTCTCTAACCCTACCTCACGCTCCCTACTCTCCTCTGCCATCCTTTTCTCTCTCCTACACTCCCTTTCTCACTCCTCTCACTCCACTCTCCCCCTCCCTCCCTCAAACCCTCTAGACTCACGCCTCACGCACTCATTATTCCCCTATCTCCAGCCCCATTCTGCTTCTTCCTCCTGTCACCCTCTCCCTCCCTACTATTCCCTCCTTTCTCCCCTCCTCCTCTCCCTCCCCTCCCTCCCAAGACTCTCCCCCACACTCACCTCTTTCCTTCACACTCTCACCTCCTCCCTCCTCTCCTCCCTCCACTCCTCCCTCCACTCTTCCCTTCCCTCCTCACTCCTCTCCCTCCTCCCCTCTCCCCTCCGCCTCGACCCAAACCAACCACCCCATGCCACGTCACTTCTCCCTCTCCTTGCATCAGCACGGTGCATGCTAAGCTGTATTTTCTCCAACGCTGACATCAGCGCTCCTGTCACTCTCCGTTGCAGTCGTGATTGCATCTGCTGCTCTCTGCCTCCTTGTCGCTTTGCTAAAAGTGACTCTTAAGGTCCTCTCCTGCTGTGCCGGCTCCCAGTCTGACTCTTGGGCAGATCAAGGCACAAACACTGGCACGGTAAGCTTATCTTAATGCATCTGTATGCGACTCAAAGTGCATATAAGTGCCATCCATCGTTTCTCAGGGCCGTCAAAGCACACCCCTTTAAACATTTCAAGGCGCCTCAAATTACAGCCTAGTTGACCAGCCGTCTCTAATGTACAACATAACCATCAATATGTATCCTTCTTTTCCCTCGCCTACTGCAACCACGCCAAACCTCTGTTCTGCTTTAAAAAGAAACATAACTCCACAATCCCATCTCTGTCTTGTTTCAAACTCTTTACTGCCCATCAACAGGGGTATTGGCCTCCTTTCCTCTTCCTCTTCTTGCTCCTTCCTCTCTCAATCTTCTCCCCATTCATCGCCCTCCTCCTCGCTGCTGTTGTTCAAGTCTGGCGTACATCTCGGGCTAAGGCAAGGTAAGCTCGAGGAGTGTGGGTTTTAAGTCGACTCAGAACACACCTCGTCTCCCCTTTCCCCTTCGTCTTCTTGCTCCTTCTCCTCTCCATCTTCTCCCCATTCATCGCCCTCCTCCTCGCTGCTTATGTTCAAATCGGGCGTACATCTCAAGTTAAGCCAAGGTAAGCTCATGGCTGGTGGGCTAATCGGGAGACTGGCAAGGTCACTCTAGCCTAGCCACGCTTACCCTTTACAAAACACTCTTTACTAAGCGTAATCAGTTGCTGCCACGTAAAGACCGTGGCACCCCAGTGGTGTTCACTCGGGCAAGGTCACTCTAGCCTAGCAACGCTTAGCCTTTTTACTAGCCGTTTTTATGTTCGTCATTCAGGATTTATGTTTTGGGGTTTTTATGCCTTTATATCATCTCTCCTTCCTTGCATGACCCGATTCACCAATCACAGGTCCTCTTTCACACTGGTATCAGAGCTCCTATTGGCCGACGCTTTCCTGCTGCTACTTGCAGCCCTCTTCCATCTCCCCCCCTTCATTGCTCACCTGCATGCCAAGGTCAGTTCCCCCCTCCTCCCCCTTCCCCCCGCCCTCAGTGCCTCCCCTCACTCCACACACACATCCTCTTTATAACTACCCTCTTCCATCTCCCCCCTTTCATCGCTCACCTGCATGCCAAGGTCAGTTTCCTCCCCCTCCCCCCTCTTCCCCCTCCTCCCCCCCCCCACACTCCTCCCTCTCCACACACACCCTTTTTCCTCTGCTGCTTATAACTACCCGTTTCCAGCTCCCTCCCTTGTTTTAGCTCACCCCCTCCCACCCCCTCCCACCCCCTCCCACTCTCTCCCACGCACTCTTCCTCCTCTCCTCCCCCTCCTCGCCCTCGCCCTCCTCTCCCTCCTATTCTTCTCCCCTGCTCCTCTCTCCTCTCCCTCCTCTCCTGCTCCCCTACCCCATTCAGGCATCAGTATCCATGGCCCTTCTTGAGCACCTAAGGTGACTTTTGAGTCGACTCAAAAGTCACCCTGCTCGCTCCTCTTGCCCCTACCCCATTCAGGCGTCAATATCCATGGCCCTTATTGAGGACCTGCCACCCTCCATAGCATCACTTGTTATAGTCACACCACCTTCCAGCTCCCCCCAGTCCTCCACCCAATCTCTTTCCTCCTCCCATTTCCTTGCCCCCGCGTCTTCCCCTTCCACTTCCCCTGCCCCTCCCAGGCTTCAATATCCATGGTTAAGTAGTTTAGCTTTGAGACGTCTCAAAAATAGTTCAGATTGTGGTTAAGTAGTTCAGTTTTGAGACGTCTCAAAAATGGTGAAGGTTGTGGTTAAGTAGTTTAGTATTGAGACGTTAACCATTTCCTTGCCCCTGCTTTTTCCCCTCCCACTTCCCCTGCCCCTACCAGGCGTCAATATCCATGGCCCCTTTAGAGGACCTACTGCCCTCCGTAGCATCACTTCTGCTTGTAGTCACACCACTGCCCTGCTCCTTCCAGTCCCCCCCCAACCCTCACTACAAGCCAACAGCACTGCAGCAAGTGGTAGTTTTTGTCTGTGACCTGTGTGGGGTGGCATCATTTGTCTTCTCTTTATATATGGTTCCGGGATACAGTCTCAACGCAATTGCTCTAGTTGCTGTTTCCAGATCTATTATGTCTCTCCAGCATTTGGAAGGCACAGCACAGCAGTACACTTGTGGTCTCTGGTTTGCAGTGGGTAACCTTCATCCCTTATGATTTCTGTGTACACTTATGATGCCTGCATTCAAAATAGAGACTCTATTTTGATCAATGATAAAATATCAAAGCCCGCCCTCTCTTCAAGTCTTCACCGTATCACACAAAAACATGTGGTGCCAAAACTTTCGGAACAATACGTAAGAGTAAATAGTTCAAAGATCCTTCACTCCATCGTAATTCGCTGCTAATGATCCTCTAGGAGCCCTAACACGAGGACAGCACCAAAACCAAGGGCTGCCAGAACCAAACACCCCCCTAAAAGCCCTGTATACATCTACACCAGACCGATTAAACAATTTAGTCCAAACCCCATTCCCACAAAGTGAGCACACCCCTTCTTGACGCCGATCCACTATTCTCCCCGGTACAACCCTTTTCGCTCCCTCCCACATCACCTTGTCATTTCCGGCTCCTTTTTTCGCTTTTAGCGAGTCTACATACCCCCCCTCCCCTGATAATATGAAGTCTAACTGCTGGTACAGTAGGAGGGAGACAGAAATCCCCGTGCCGAGTGCAAGAGTAAAGAGGTAAAACGCGATAAGCGCCCGGATCGGAAGATATTTTCGGGCAGCCCAAAGGGCAGCGGCAAAAGCTTTCGTGGCAGTGGAAAGGAGGGTGGTGAGATCGGCAGGGGGAGTGTGGGGCATGTGGGGGGTGAGGTCGAGAGTGGGGAGGAGGAGGTAGAGGGTGGTTGCGGCCATGAGGCAGACATAGGAGCAGCTGAGGATGGTGGAGAGAAGGAAGAGCAGGAAGTGCCGCTGGTTGGCCCGCCCCACACAGTTGCCGATCTGATTTGAGGGACGGACGTGGGGGGAGGAGAGGGGGAGAGGAAGGGGAAGGAGAGGGAGCAGGAGAAAGAGGGGGAGACGGAGTGGGAGACAGAAGGGGAGAGGGAGTGGGAGAGAGAGGGGGAGAGGGAGTGGGAGAGGAATGGGAGAGGGAGAGGGCGAGGGAGTAGGAGAAGGGAATGTTAAGGCAAGGAGAGCTTGGTCCCACGGCAGCAGTCATCACCTACAAGAGGCGGAATGGACAAAGGAAGAAGGAGGGCAGGGAGGAAGGATAGCTAAGAAGAGAGGGAGAAATGGGAGAAGCACGACAAGGTAGAGGGTGGTTGCTGCCATGAGGCCGACGTAGGAGCAGCTGAGGATGGTGGAGAGAAGGAAGAGGAGGCAGGCCGCAGGGGGAGGATGCATCATGCATGTTCCATGAGAGGAAACACCTAAGGGCAGAGACGCACAAGCGGGCAGTGGTGGTCCATGCCCATCACGCACGTGCCGCAGCTGCTGCAGCGGTGAGCCCTGGGAGGCTTGGCACGAGGTGGGTGAGTGGTGCATGTGCAGGGAGGTCCTAAGGGGGGAGGCCCTAAGGGGGGAGGCCCTAAGGGGGGACGCCCTAAGGGGGGACGCCCTAAGGGGGAAGGCACTAAGGGGGGATACTCACAAACGGGCAGTGGTGGTCCATGTCCATAAGGCATTTGCCGCAGCTGCTGCAGTGGTGAGCACCGGGGGGCTTGGCACGGGCGGGGTGGGTGGTGCAGGAATGGACTCAGCCAGATGCAGATAACCACAAACAGGCACATGGATATATGACTCATGAGTGACTCACGAACGGGCAGTGGTGGTCCATGTCCATAACGCACGTGCCGCAGCTGCCGCAGTGGTGAGCCCCGGGGGGCTTGGCGCGCGGGGGGTGGCAGCGGCGGCACAACCGCCAGCCGTCGAACGAGCCTGAAGGGAGGGAAAGGAAATGGATGATGAGAATAGGGCAGTAACAGTACGTGAGGAGTCTATTTTTGAGGCGCCTCAAGAATAGGGCAGTAGCAGTACGGTCCCCGGGGGCCTTGGCGCGAGCAGGGTGGCAACGGCGGCACAACTTCCAGCCGTCGAAAGAACCTGAGAGGCAAGGGAGGGAGGGAATGGGCGGTGGATGCAAGGACGCAACAGGGAGTGGGTTTTGCAGAGGGCAAGGCAATACGCCTGAACACCCACCGGCTGGGCATGTTTGCTGATCCTGGTAACTTGGTAATGTGCAAACCCACCGGCTGGGCATGTTTGCTGATCCTGGTAACCTGGTAATGTGCAAACCCACCTGCTGGGCATGTCTGCTGATCCGAAAGCCACGCGGGTGACTGGGCTGGCAGGGGGGAGAGGAAGGGGGAGAGGGATTGAGGGCAGTAACCTGGTGACCTTGTGCAAACCCACCTGCGGATACAGTTGGCATGCCTGCTGATCCGAAAGCCACGGGCGGGTGACCGGGCCGGCAGGGAGCGGCAAAGCAGAAGAAGTTGAAGACGGTTTGCAGGGAGAGGAGGAGTGTGAGGAGGGCACGGGCTACCCCTCCTCGCAGGGAATATTGTAATACACTCTACACCAGAGCACCCACCCACCTGCTGATACAGTGGGCATGTCTGCTGACCCGAATGCAATGCGCTTGACCGGGCTGGCGGGGAGGAGAGCGGAGCATAGGAAGGGAAGAAGGGAGAGAGGGTGGTAGCCTGGTAACCTTGTTTTGACCCACCTGATGATACAGTGGGCAAGTCTGCTGAGCCGAAGGCCATGCGCTTGACCGGGCCGGCAGGGAGGAGGGCGGAGCAGAGGAAGTTGAAGATGGTTTGCAGAGAGAGGAGGAGAGTGATGAGGGAGTGGAGGAGGAAAGGGAGGGGGAGAGGGAGGAGAGGAGGGGAGTGGTGGCGGTAAGGAGGGTGGAGGGGGCAGATGACGGGGAATGTGGTGAGAATGCCGCCAACTGTAAAGGGGAGGGAAGGGGAGGGGAGGGGAGTGGAGTGGAGGGGAGGGGAGGGGAGGGGAGGGGAGGGGAGTGGAGGGGAGGGGAGGGGAGGGGAGGGGAGGGGAGGGGAGGGGAGGGGAGGGGAGGGGAGGGGAGGGAAGGGGAGGGGAGGGGAGGGAAGGGGAGGGGAGGGGAGGGAAGGGGAGGGGAGGGGAGGGAAGGGGAGGGGAGGGGAGGGGAGGGGAGGGGAGGGGAGGGGAGGGAGGGGAGGGGAGGGAAGGGGAGGGAAGGGGAGGGGAGGGGAGGGGAGGGAAGGGGAGGGGGGGGAGGGGAGGGGAGGGGAGGGGAGGGGAGGGGAGGGGAGGGAAGGGAGGGGGAGGGGAGGGGAGGGGAGGGGAGGGGAGGGAAGGGGAGGGGAGGGGAGGGAAGGGGAGGGGAGGGGAGGGGAGGGGAGGGAAGGGGGGGGGGAGGGGAAGAAGGAAAGAGGTCGAAGATGCATTTGACACAGGATGAAGGGGAGGGGGGGTGGAGGGGGCAGATGACGGGGAATGTGGTGAGAATGGCGCCAGCTGTGAAGGGCAGGGGGGGGAGGGGAAAGGAGAGAATGGAGGGAACGGAAGGAGAGAGGAAGGGAGGAGAAGAGGGAAGGGAGAAGGGAGAAGGGAGAAGGGAGAAGGGAGAAGGGAGAAGGGAGAAGGGAGAAGGGAGAAGGGAGAAGGGAGAAGGGAGAAGGGAGAAGGGAGAAGGGAGAAGGGAGAAGGGAGAAGATGCACTTGGCACAGGGTGGAGAGGGCACACATGATGGGAAAAGGTGAGCGGCAATGTGCGGGGTAAGGGGACACTTGAAATACGAGGTGGTGAGAATGCTATCAGATGCAGTGCAGGGCAGGGGAGAGGGGAGAGGATGGAGGGAGAGGAGAGGAGAAGATGGGAGAGGAGGGGAGAGGAGGGAATGTGAGGAGATGAAGGGGGGAGGAAGTAGATGTAACAAAACATACTATCGAGACGACGAGGAAGTAGCGAGACGAGGAGGAAGTAGCGCGGCGACGAGGAAGGAACGAGACGACGAGGAAGTAGCGAGACGACGTGTGAGTTGAGTTGGTTTTCCAAATTCCTGAATAGACCAGCGAGACATAGCTATGACAAGAACCACAGTAGTTGTGTCGTGTAACGCATAAGGATAATAAAGAGGATGAGAAGGATAACCACCGTCAGCACAAGCATATGCATATCCCACGCAGCCGCACACTCGGTGACTCTTGAGGCGGCTAGTGATCTTCGCACAGGAGGTGACTCGCATCTCGCTTCGTGCTTACCAATAATAAAGGTGATGAGAAGGATAACCACTGTCAGCACAAGCATATCCCACGCGGCAATACACGCCCTGCACCGCCTCTGCCTTAGCGGCTTATCTGGCACAGAATGGGCGGAGGCGGAGGACACGGGCGCACTAGAGGAGGGGGGGGATGGGGAGGGGGAGGAGGGGGAGCGGGGGGATTGGAGGGTGAGGGCGCCGCAGTAGCCGCATTTGAAGTTGGGGGAGAAGGAGGGGAGGGAGAGGCAGAGGCCGCACGCCCAGCAGAGCACGTCGTAGGACGCCCCGTCCGTGCTCTCCACGTCTCGGTACTCCGTCTGCTGCTGCTGGCGCGGCTGCGGGTGGTAAGATTGTTGCTGCTGAGGTGGTTTCAATTGCTGCTGCTGGTGGCGGTGCTGGTGCACGTCGTACGATGCCCCGTCTGTGCTCTCCACGCCTCGATACTCCGTCTGCTGCTGGCTTGGTTGGTCATGCGATGGCTGGTGACGCTGTGTTTGCCGCTGCTGCTGCTGGTGCTGATGCACTTGCAAATACGGTGATTGCAGTTGCTGTTGCTGTTGCTGTTGCTGCTCCTGGCCGTAGGGTGGCTGGGAAAGGGCCGGGGCTGGCAGCTGCTCAAAGTGCAGCTGCTTGGGAAGCAACGGCACGGTATCTTCGACTGCCATCCCTCCTCCGGCTGTGACTCCTCCCCTCCCCCCCACCAGGCTCCCTCGTCCCACCCCCCTCTTCTCGCATCTCTCATCTCACCACCAGCGTCCACAGCAGCAGCGCCACCAGCAAGACCAGCAGCAGAAGCAGCAGCAGCAGCAGCAGCACCACCACCACCACCAGCAGCAGCACGGGCGGTATTGGGTGTTACAGCAGCATCGGGAACTCCAGAACCAATCAGAGGCTCGGGATCAGTTACCAGGACCGCAGGAACGGAGGCGGAGGCTCGGCCCGCTGACCCCCCTGCTGTCTTGCCGCGGTTGTGCACGGACTGGCCTGGCGACCGGTTGAAAGATGAACTCTGGGGGGAATGAGGTTGTGTGGGGGGGGGGGAGATGGACGGAGGGGGAAGGGGGGAGGGGGGGGGCGATGACGGGTAGAGGGTTGGAGGCAGAGGCTCGGCCCACTGACCCCCCTGCTGTCTTGCTGCGGTTGTGCACGGATTGTCCTGTAGAGCGGTTGAGGGACGACGACTGGGGGGAAAGAGGTTGGGAGGGAGGGACGGGAGGAGGGGGGGGTGGGGAGGTGTGTTGGGGGGAGAGGGAGGAGGGGAGGAGGGGGGGGGATGACGGGGAGAGGGTTGGAGGCGGCGGTTCGGCCTGAACTCCCTGCTGACTTGCCGCGGTTGTCCACGAATTGTCCTGGCGAGCGGTTGAAGGCCGAAGACTGGGCGTGAGGTGTAGGAATGGGGAAGCGGGGACGAAGGGGGGGGATGTGGGCCGCAGGGGGGAGGGAGGGGGAAGGAGGGGGGAGGGGGAGGAATGCGTGTTTTGAAGCACCTTATAACGGACACCCTTTTGAAGCGCCTTCCACGCGATGGTGGCCGAAAAGCCCGGAAAGTGTTAAAACATTTTCCGGAAAGTTCCGGAAAATCCCGGGCGATGGCGAGGAGGGGAATGAGGGAAGGCGCAGGGGGTGGGGAGGGGAAGGAAGGGAAGGGGAAGCGGATGCAGGGGGATGGGGAGGAGGGTTAGGAGCGAGGATGACGCGACGACGGGTAGTGAGGGTGAGTAAAAATTGGCGAAGCTTTAGAACGGTGCTGAAAGAATCTTAGTCGTTTATACGCTTTTGAGGCTCATGAATATAAACAGGCCCTGTGGAATCTTACCATTTTGAAAAAGTCGGTCTCTGCCGATCTCTCAGCTAATCACCGCAGAGCAACAAGTTGTAACACGCAAAATAAGAAACGAACACCACAGCCCGGCGCAAACCGAGCAGAAATTCGACAGCGAGAGAAACCTAACTGCATGACACGTGGCAGAAAATGGGCCGCGTGACGCCGCCTGATGATCTCGGTACAACCTAAGGTCGTCCTGGTTTGTGCTTTCCAAGGATGGTGTTTATTCGGTTCGAGTCGGTTTAAATGTCCTGATTGCATCCACCATCACACCATTGTCTGCCTTCCCTATTGTGTGTTTCATGTTCCGTGGTTGTGATGCAAAAGCACACGTTAGTCAGTTAGTTTTAATCAAAGCTCGTTGATATATCGTATACTCGTGAAAGGAAATGGTATTTCCTTATCACATGTTTAGTTAGTAAAGCGTACACTGCTATAACGGGGTTGCCGCGCAGCTCTACCACTAAATTCAAATCGCGGTACCCAAATGTGGCCTCCTGACGAGCCACATGCATTTTGCCCCCCTTGCTGTTTCATGCCTAGATCTCGGCGCTTCGCGCCAATTTAAGAACCACATGTCGCACCTCTGCCAAGCCATGACCATGTGCTCTCTCTACTGTTTTGATGTTGCCTCAGTTGTATTGATTCCTCGTTACTCAAACCTTCGACACACGCTCTTTGCGCTTCATTACACTTGGCCATCAGAGCCAACGATCCTTAGCCTTGCGCTCTAGTTCCGTTGCAATACCGACACTTAGGGAGGCTGACGCCCTGTGCTTACTCCATATCCAATGTCTTGGTAATATTAGTAATTGATCATTACCTAGAGCCACGACTGTGTTCACAGAGCCAGCACGATGAAAGCCGCCCAAAGGTTTCTGCGAAATGGTGGATCCGTCGGTGTCTACCGCCATGAATCCTCAAGAAAGGGCGGCAGCACTCGAAGAAGTCTGTCTCACCCACGAGTTGTATCTACAGGAGTTGGCGCATCTGCGAGCTGAAATGGCCCAAGCTGAATCCGAGATCTGCATTGTGGAGCCGAATGCCTCAGACACGACACAACACGACACGATCGCACCAACGACAAACCAAGGACAATAGGAGCAAGTAACATAGCAGCGTTCTGAAATACCCGGCGACAATCAGCTGTTAAAAGGCTAGCTTAGCTAGGAAGCTAGGAAAGGCATGAGGTTTAGCTAGGAGGAGCCATGGAGTGGCGTGAGGTTTAGGAAGGAGAAAAGTTGAGAGAAAAGGTGTTGGGAATAGAAGAGAGAGGGATACAAGGAGGGGTGTTGTACCCTCTACAGTAAAGTTCAGTAACCTACCAAGCCTAATAATTATATAACACAATATATAATTTTAACACACCCCCTAGGCTTGGTAGTCACATGCCCACACACACCCACACCCCCTAGCCACAGTGACAGCGACACTAGGTTGGTCGACCCCACGGCGCGTGAGGCGGCGACGTCGACCGCAGGGGCTGCGGCGGCGACGGCGGCAGCGGCGGCAGTGTCGACAGCGGCGGCGGCGGCGGCGTGCGGCTGCGTGGCCCCGACGCAAGCGGCGACAGCGGCGGCGGCGGCGGCTTCGACAACAACGGCGGCGACACCCGCACCTCTCGGTGACGTGGCCAGGCCCCGCGATGGTGGGACGGCCGGCGGGAGTCAGCCGTCGTCTGCGGAAAGGAAGAGGACACAGGGGAAGGAGGGGGGGGGGGGGGGGGCGCCACAGGCTGACATGCGGGCGGCCGGTCTAGCGGCGCCACAGGCGTCGCGCGGCCGGCTGCAGCCCGACGACGCCGTCACAGAGCGGCGTCGACGCCGCGGCGGGACGTCGACGCTGCAACGGCAGCACGACGGCCCGACACCACGTCAGCGCGTCGAGACGGCCGCGGCACGACGCGGCCAGCGGCATCACGACGCCGCCACTGCAGCAAAACGTGGCCGCCATGGCCGCGCGAGCGAACGAGGGTGAGGAATACGCGGCGGAAGCGTGAGGAGGCGGTCCAGCAGGGAGGACCTCCAGCTCTGATAGCATGTTAAAAGGCTAGCTTAGCTAGGAAGCTAGGAAAGGCATGAGGTTTAGCTAGGAGGAGCCATGGAGTGGCGTGAGGTTTAGAAAGGAGAAAAGTTGAGGAGAGAAAAGGTGTTGGGAATAGAAGAGAGAGGGATACAAGGAGGGGTGTTGTACCCTCTACAGTAAAGTTCAGTAACCTGCCAAGCCTAACAATTATATAACACAATATATAATTTTAACATCAGCGATCACAGGCGGCTTCGCTCGAGGGTTCGACGAACAACCCACCACTGGCTATTGGACAAGCGAATTTGGCAAAGGGGCGAACGTAATCTGCCGCCCCCAATTACCTCACCAATCGGCCTGCAAACTCCAAGTCTCTGTTAAATTATATTTTATAGGTATATATTTGTAGGCTTGGTAGGTCTTGCTGGATCCTACTGTAGAGGGTACAACCTCTCTCCATTTCATGGCCGCCTAACTTCCTAGCTAAGTTAGTCTTCTAACAGTATCAACATGGCGCCAGGAATTCTTAAGAATTCCCACGTTCGACCCAAGCCAGTGTGGCAGTTTGTCCGTCAGCGGGTGGATTTTTACTTGAACGTTTTTTATGACTGCAACCGTGTCGTCGACGATGCGCAAAAAATCCGATACGCTGTGTCGGTCCTACGTGGACCGGCGATGGATTGATGGCAGCAGATAATTCAGATGCAGGAGCCGGATACGCCGACACGTGTGATCGGGCGTTTTTGCACAACCAATCACTAGGCAAGAAGTTATTGCGAGGTGGAGGAGTACAGCACGTGACAATCGTGGTGCGCGGGAATTTGTTGCCGCTTTGAATACGTCAACGCAAGCAGCCAGCGCGCGGCCGCCTTCGCACGTGGCGCCAACTCGGATGGTTCCAGGACTATACCAGCAGCTTCAAGAATTTATGCTACCCTGTCGGCTACATTCACACTGACGAGAAGTTCAACAGATACATCGGGGGACTTCGACCGAATCTGCGCAGGGAAATACAAGTCAGAGAAATTACGGATTTGATGGAGCCGCAGAGGGTTACGGAGCCGTTGGATTCGTTCTTCAAGCCAAGGGTGGGTTCCTATGCAAAAGTCGCACTCGGGGACCAATCGAACGTGCCACTGTACACGCTATTACAACATCGAACTCAACAGTTACAGCAGTCAAAGGTCGTTGTTTTGGGTGTAACAAGCCGGGACACCGCAAGTCGGAATGCCCAGAGGACGGAAGAAGCAGAATCAGGGGCACGAGAGTTTCAAAGACCAGGGAAACACTTAGTATCAATAGTTAACGGGCCCACTACTGATGGAACCTGCTCGCCCGTGACAGATGACCCTCGTCGAGTACTGGTACCAATCCAGGCAATCGATCGAATTCGGCTGAATAAGGAGGGTGCAGCGGCAGATTACCCTATTTATTCGTAGGGTAGGGTTCAAGGGAAAAAAATAAAATCTTTGTGGAAGGGGGAGCCAGCCACAGCCGGATCAACCTCGCCACGACCAAAAAGAAAAAGAAAAGGAAAGTTACCCTTAGATAGGTGTCTACCAGAGATTGACGCCCGACTAGTCGACGGGACCCCATTAGCAATAAAAGATGGGGCGGACAAGATTAGGGTACGCTGTGGAGTAGAATTCAATTTTTCGATGGGGATGCTGGCAACTACACTCGACGACTTCGACATGTTGCTTGGGTGGGATTAACTGCGACGCTTTAATACAAAAATTGACTAGACGACCGACAGCTGTTCCGTCAAAATCAACGACCGTAGTGTGATGTTACCAGAATGGACGAAGGAGATCACAGGGGGAGTGACGCGGGTGAACTCCGTGGCGATCAAACGAGCGGTCACACGGGGCGCAGAATTCTTCGCTGTAGTCGTTAGCGCCGTCGACATGGCATCACAGCCGTTCGATTTAGAGAAGGTGACAACAGTAGTGCCGGCTGATCTAGCGCAGCCGATTCACAGATTTCCGCAGATATTTCCAAACGACCTACCTGAGGGATTATCACCGGAATGGCCCTTCGACCATTGAATAGAATTAGAACCCGGGACACTGCCCACAGTGCAGCGGCAATTTTGACTGACACATCCGGAGTTAGAAGAATTACGGAAGCAGCTAGACTATTCACTGGAGAAAAAATCATCCGCCTGAGCTTCTAGCTATTTGCCGCCCCCATACTGTTCACCCCCAAGAAAGACGGCGGGTACCGAATGTGCACTGAATACAGAGCACGAAAAATGGTGACTATCAAGTCGCGCTAACCTATCCGGTGCGCCGACGATCTGATCGGCCGACTTTGCAAAGCTCGCTTCTTCTTGAAAATAGGTTTACGAGGGGGTTGCTATCAGATTCGCGTAGATACAACTGACTGTCACAAGACCGTGTTTCGTACTAGGTACGGGAGTTTCGAGTATGTAGTTATGCTCTTCGGTCTGACGAACGCCCCCGAAAACATTTCAGATGACCGTGAACAAGATCTTCAGTTCGCTCGTAGATAAGTGTGTTATTGTCTACCTGGATGACATACTGATATAGAGCGAGACCTAGGAGCAGCACTTAAACGACCTCCAAATAGTTTTCATGCTATTGCAGGAGCATCGGCTGCTCACGAAGGCATCTAAGTGCGAGTTTTAAAATGACCGCTTGAAATTTCCGGGACATGTTATTTCCACTAAGGGCGTCGAAGTGGACCCGTGCAAAATCGAGACAATGCAAGCCTGGCTGCCGCATAAGAACCTGTAGGAGCTGCAAAGCTTTTTAGGGTTCGTCAATTATGTTCGACAATTTATCCCGAACTGACGGGGGTAATTGCAAAGCTTTTTATGGCGGGGGTAACTGCACCGTTAACTGACCTGCGGCGGAAAGGGATTGAGTACAGGTGGGGGGAGAAAGAGCAAGCTGCTTTATCCGCGCTAAAAAATTTTATGTGCTCAGCCCCTGTCCTTTGCATTACTGATCCTTACCATCCATTCGAAGTAATCACAGATGCCAGCGATCTCGGCGAAGGTCTACAGCCAATCGCGTACGAGTCACGGAAGTTACACGCGCCCGAGCGAAATTATCTGATACACGATAAGGAAATGCTTGCGGTCGTGCACGCCTTCAAAGTGTGGCGGTGCTACCTGATGGGCGCAGACGTGAAAGTACAGACAAACCATCGCAGCCTACAGTACATCCGCGCACAACCACTGTTTAACCCATGATAGATTCGATGGTTGGATTTTATGGAATCCAATTTCCACTACACAGTCACCAACAAAAAATGGGCATCAAACATTGCAGACCCACTTTCTCGCCCATCCACCCATCTCAACTCCATCATCCTCGCCCAAACATCCCCGTTATTAACATGACTATTTACCCACGGGTACCAGACGGACAGATTCTTTACGTGCATACGAACAATGTGCAACGGCTAAGTGGGTATATTACTTAAAGACAGGGACATATGGGTGCCGGAGTACAGTTTATTACGGGAAATACTGCTACAAGAAGCCCATGACAGTACCGTTTCAGGCACTTCGGAGTGGAGAAAACATGGCAACAGCTGACCATATATTATTTTTGGTCAGACATGCAAGGGGACGTGCAGCGTCATGTGGTTTCGTGCAAAACATGCCAGACCATGAAATCATAGAAGTAGAAGCCAGCTGGACTACAGAATAGAAAATTCCTTGCACTACCCCCTCTCTAGCAAAGGTGGTCTATATTTGCGACGTGCTTGTGGGATAAATAATCCTGGAGGACAGTAGGTGACTGAACCTGTACCGAGGGAACCCATGTGTCGTCCTCGCTGGTACGATGACTCCATCGTATAAAAAAGTCAACATGTCGTTCCTAACCGTTGATGCGTATGCGGTGGCTCAGGATTTCGCTGGCTCGATGAGCGTCTCTTCGGCTGGCCGTAGGTCCTGGGTGATCGGCTGTCAGGCGACGTTGGATGCGTCGGCGACAAACGGGCGTAGGAGGGTGACGTGGAAGGAATTATGAATTTTCCAATCGTCGGGCAGATGGAGTTGGGCGGTTACTGGTGTGATCATTTTGATGATCTTGAAGAGTCCACTGTAGCGGGGTTGAAGTTCTGGTGGTATCTGCAGGCGAAGGTTTTTGGTGTGGAAGAGGACTACTTTCCCTATAGTCAATGCAATATCGTGTCTGTAACGGTCGGCGTATTGGCGGGCAGTGATATTGGCTTTTCGGATAATTTCGATGGCTTTCGTGCGGATGGTTTGAAGGTCTTCGACAAACAGCTGCAAGCGGGGGACTTGGCTTTCGACGTCGGTGGACATGGGCGAATGATTGGTCGTGGCGGAGGGTGCGTTTTTTGTAGGAAAACTTGAGCATGGGTAGCGAATCTTCCCATTTGCTTGTATCTGGACGGTTCGTGCGAATAAGCTGTTCCATGGTCTGATTTGTCCGTTCTGTCTGACCGTCGGTTTGCGAGTGATAGGCGGATAAGAACTGTAGGCGGGTGCCGTATCAGTTCCACGTGTCTTGCCAGAAGCGTGAGGTGAATTTTGGACTTGTATCACTAATGATTGCCGTAGGGATACCATGCAGGCGAACGACAGCCGAGATGAAAAGATGTGCGATTTCTTCGGCTGTGATCGTCGTGCGACATGGCGCGAAGTGAGCCATTTTCGTGAGGCGGTCGACGATGACAAGAACCGCGTCGTTACGAATTGGTCCGGTTGGCAGACTGGTGACAAAATCCATTGTCACGTGTTGCCAAGGTCGCTGGGGTGGTTCGAGGGGCTGCAACAGTCCTGCTGACCGTTAGCAAGATGATTTCATCGTCTGGCAGGTCGGACATGCGCCCACGTATTTCTGCACGTCCGAAATCATGTCCGGCCAGTAATAAAACTGCTGAAGTGCCTTCAGAGTCTTGTCAACCCCGAGATGTCCCGATAAATTCGAATCGTCGACTTCTTGAATTTGTAATTCGCGGAGTAGACGATAACTCGAAACCCATATTCGTTCCGTTCCCCCTTTTACGTAATAGGCTCCTCGCACAGTCTTGACTTGCTGGTGGCCGTTGTTTACAAAAAAAGGGTCGGTCGAATATCCGTGGGTAAATAATATGCTCAGCAACGGGTTGAAAGCCAGCTTGTCATAGTGGTGCTTTTGTCCATGGGGTTGAAAGGAGGCGGCATCGGCGGCTTTATCTTGGCCACTCGTACAATTAGTGTGGCTGCGGCTGCGGCAGAGACTGTTGCTGCAGCTTGAGAGCGGGCGGCGGCCGTTGTCCCAGTTGCTGCAGCTGTCGTGGCACGTGCGGCGACATTCGCTGATGCTGTGGCTTCATCATCACGGCGCTCCTGCGACACTTCGCGTGCGAGTTCGTCCAGTACTGTCTCGCCACGTCCAGTGTTGGCGGTGTCCTCGGGGGCGGGCGACTTTTGGCGCATAGTCTCTTGCGCCTGGCAAAGTTCGGTAACTTCGGGGCGAAGTCTCTCATTGTCGTTTAACACAGCTTGCAGGCGAGCGTCCGTGGCGACGAATTTCGCCAATTGCACGTCGAACTGCGCTTGGTCCATGTGGCAAACACTACGCCGGGTGGGTAGGGGAATATTCGTGATTACCCGTGCTCAGGTAAGAGCGCAAACGCTATCGTACTCGGGCGAATTAATTTCGTCTTATTTGCGGCCGACCGCTTTGCAGCTCAGTATGGGAATCACTCCCCCCCCCCCCCCCCCACCCGACCGAAGAAAAGTTTTCCGCCTACGGAAATGGGTAGGTAAAAAAAGTAGCTATGAATACCAGATGTTATGGGTCTTTCACCAGAGAAGCACGAAATCGAATGTCGAGGTTCAGAATAAGAGAATGTCGTACAATGGAAAGACGAAGCAGCACCAGAGCATTCCTAACCGTGTGATCGATCAGGTTTGACGAAGGCATCCGAAGACACGGATCGCTTCCGAGTGACGTAAAATGTTTCGATGTGGCGTGTACAGGCTGAAGATAGGGCATGTGTCAGTGCCGTGTGAGGTTGGGGTGTTAGAATAGGAGAATTTCTAGAAATGACGGATATAGAGGAACATATGGTTGGGTGTTGTACTCTCTAAGAGCACGAGACCTTCAAGCCTATAAGTATACATATGCAAATATGTATAAGATGACACACCCTCTAGGCTAGACAAGGGGCAGTGCCTAGCGAGAGACACACAGCTCAGGGCAGCACTACTAGTCCAACCTCTGAGGCAAAGGTATAAAGACCAATCAGCAAGAGTACAAGCTAGGGTGGGAATAGTAGTCGAGCCATTGGAAAAAGGGCCACAAGGCCAGTCAAGATAATATAAGGAGTGGTACACAATCAGGGTCCTAGCAATTGAGGGGCTACTGGAACTAGACCATGCTGTACACAGTGCCGCTGATGATCTTTAGACGCAAGTGCTTTCGTAAAGATATCAGCTGTGTTGGCACCGGAGGCCAATTGTACTATGCGGGCCTGGAGACGCTGCTGTAGCTCGCACAGGAAGAAGTACCGCAGCTGGATGTGCTTCGCTCTGCCCTCAAGTCGAGGCTCCTGACACAAGAGGATCATGGCCCTGTTGTCAGCGTATGGGACCGAGGCAGAGCTGGGCCACTCACGGGGTGCCTGTCGTAGGCCGTAGACCGGGCGATGGAGGAGCCACTGGGTCCCAGGAAGGAAGGTACCGGCGAAGCCTTGTGGACGGCGCAGTTAGACCTGCTCGTGCAGGCTGCCTTGAAGAAAAGCAGTGGAGAAGTCGAGGGAGTGGAGCTCGTAGTCACGCTGTGCTGCTACGTATAGCAGCGCCCAAAGAGTAGTCATCTTCGGGGTCGGGGCAAAGGTTCGGACGAAGTTCACACCCTCGCGCTGACTGAAGCCTCTAGCCATGTAGCACGCCTTGAACACAAGCGGCTCTCTACAGGGGCGCATCACCTTGAAGAGCCACCGGCCATCGACTACGTTCATCCCAGGCAGGGGAACTGCATCGATGTAGGTGCCGGTGGATCTCCAAGATGCCATCTCCTACTCCGTGGCAGCTATCCACTGAGAGGCCCAGGGTCCCGAGGTCGCCTCAGCGTAAGTGCGAGGGGTCGGGATGTCAAAGGCGTAAGGGTCACCCTCAGGGACTAGCAGCATGGAGCAGAGAAGGGGAGCAGCCTTGGACAGGAAAGCAAGCTCGTACTGCCTGTCCTCGAGGACGTCACTGCCAAATGCAGGAGCACTTCCAATGGACGGAGGGCAGACAGTGTCAGAGACCAGAGCTGTGGCGTATAGGCAAAGTCAGCGACAGCAGCGACAAGAGCACCAAGACTCGAGACAGGAACAGACGGGTCAGTAATGAGGAAGGCAAGGACCCGAGGAACAAGTGGACGAGAGGCACGAAGGTAGGCAGATAGAGGGGGAGGCGTGACAACGAGGGACGACGGAGGAAGCGAAGGCAGGAAGGTAGGACGAGACGAGTGGGAACGAAGCAACATAGAGTGGGAACGCTGAACAGGAGAGACAGGATGAGCTCGAGAGGGACGGCGAGACCAGACGTGAGACGGAGGCGTCTAATCAGGAGACAAAGGAGGAGGCATAAGAGGGAAATGAGGGGGAAGATGAGCCGAAGACGAGTCCGGCGGAGGGAACACAGGGCCGTAGACAGGAAGTGAAGGGGAGGCCGAGCAGGCGAAGGGCGGAAACCAGCGGCGACTGCTGCTGCTGTTGCTCGACGCCTACACCTGGACCCCTTGTTGCACCATGGCTACCACCAAAACACTCCACTCCAGCACACCCAGAACAAGCACCCCCAGAGCGAGAACTCTCTCCAGCACCTGTGCCACCCCCAGGCCTGCCGGGACAAGCCACGACAGGAACTCAAGGATTAGCACCCTCCTCAACGCCAGCACCCCCAAATTCCACGGACGGCTGCTGCTGCTGCAGCCGGCCCTCGATGCAGGACGTGCACGGTGTCGCAAGCAAGGGAGGGAGGGCAGGAAGTGATGCAGGGAGACCTAGGACGAGACCGTGTTGAGACATGTGACGCAGACGCCAGAGTGCGGGGTGACCTAGGTGGTGGTGCCATAGAAGCGACGGGTGAGTGAGCGACCGACACGAGCAAGCCGCAGCGAACTGGGTAGACGCAGGACCCAGGGAGGACGCGCCCATCGGGGGGAAGCAGTGTCCAGCGTAAAGAGGCCAGACACCGGGTCCCGGGGGAACATCGCAAGGGGGGCACCTGAGGCGGCCACGATACAGACATCGTACCGCTCAT